ATATATATATATATATATATATAAAACGTCGATTCCCAGGGGTCAGCGTTGCCATGGAAACACACATCCAGCATTCAAAGAGGGGTAAAAGGGAGCGAGGCAACCACACACACAACATCCCCCCGACACACACACACACACACACACACACACACACACACAGCTGAATCTGAAACAGTTGCTGAAGAATGGGAGATCATGTAACTGCAGCAGCTAAGATGCTTCACGTCCATCAAATCAATCCGCTCCTCTGGCTGTTTTGATTTAAAATGAACCCTTCGGGTTCACATGTGAGACGGTCTGGACACATGCAGAGGACACGTTGGATGGTGACCATGGAGCTGCCAGGGAGGAGGAGAAGAGGAGGAGGAGGTCTATGGAAGGAGTGAAGGAGGATCAGAGAGCAGTGGTGGGACAGATGGAGGCAGAAGATCCAATAAAGGGAGGTGATAAAGGTGAATGTAGACTATAAATCTGTTGGCATCTCAGAAAACAACACAAACATACAAAAATATTCCATTTACAAATAAAAAAGTTGCTCCTTGGCTCCAGTGAAAGACTGAAATTACCTCTCAGATTGGAGGCAATGTGTTCAACATGATGGTACTTCTTCCAGTTATTTGTCAACAATGGTGTACCGCAAGGCTCAGTCTTAAGTCCCACCCTCTTTACAATCTATATAAGTAATGTAGGTCAGTTCACTCCTGATGCATCCTTACATTTCTATACTGACGACAGTCGTTTATTGTCGAGCTAGTCAGCAGCTAAGGTCTTCCAGCTTTTACAGTCTGCATTCAACATCATCCAGTCAGATTTGTTCCGTCTCAAACTGGTGCTAAATGCGGATAAAACCAAAGTGAAATTGTTTTCAGACAGGAAGTCGGTACCAGCAGTCCTTCCTCCTATTTTATCCATGAATGGTGTTCCTATTGAGTTTGTTGATTCTTACAAATACTTGGGAATCTTGGTTGGTGCACAACTTTATTAAGTCCCATGTTGAAAACTTGGTAAAGAAACTGAAAGTTAAACTGGGTTTCTTTTTTCAGAAGCAGATCCTGTCTAACCCTGAATGTTAGAAAACACCTTGTATCTGTGACTTTCCTTCCCTCCATTGATTACGGTGACATTATTTACATGAACGCTCCTACAAGAACCCTGCAGATGTTGGATGCTGCAGATGTTGGATGTTGTCTATCATGGTGCACTAAGATTCATAACTGGCTGTGATTATCGTACCCACCACTGCACCCAGTATTCACTGGTTAACTGGTCATCATTAACTTTACGCAGACTCTCTCACCGGTGCATTTTCATCTTTAAATCACTTCTTGGTCTGCTGCCTTCATACATCTCCTCCTACATGTCTCTGCGTGAGTGCAGCTACAGCGTGCGCTCTCAGGACATCATTACCTGCAGTGTTCCCTCAGTGAGGACTGAACTAGACAAAAGGACTTTCTCCTCCTCTGCTCCTGTTTCCTGGAATACCTTACAAAAAGGCCTGAAGCTCTCGACCTTGATCTAGCTAACGGATTTTAAACAATTGTTAAGTTCATGACAAAAACCAGCACAGACACGTTCCAGTTTTTAGGATTTTATTCAGTTTCATAATGTAGCTTGCTTTTAATTTTGTTTTATATCACTAATTTTATTTACTTTTTATTTTATATGCTTTTCATATGATTGTCCGTTGTTGTCTGTAGCTCATCTGTGTTCTTGTTTAAAACAGGTCTCTCTTGTAAATGAGTCCTCGTGACTAAATGAGACTAACCTGTATAAATAAAGGTCGAATGAATTACAGTGTGGCTAGAAATAAGTTTTATATGTATAAAAAATAGAAATTTTACACTGTTGCCATAACAGTTTCAAAGTATTAATCAGTGTTCAGATGGAGCGGATCGCTGCTAATTTCTACGTTTAGGTTGGAGAGAGCACGTGGTCTGAACGTTTCCGGTAAAGATCCGTTTGATCTCTCTGATGTAAATCTCCTCCACATGAATAAAAGATGGAGGATGGAGGAGTGGGAGGATGGAGAGCAGGAGAAACAAAAAGAGTTGGCCTTGATGAAGAAACAGCTATAAAACCAGAGCGGCTGCGTTTCTCTGCAGACCGAAGCAAAAGAAAGAAAAGCGAAACATAAAAACATCCTAAGAGAAAATAATTAATGGACCTTGGAGAAACACGCGGAGGTCTTTCTGGTTACGTTCTCCTCCTTTTGTTTGCTGCAAAGCTGAATATGTGCGGCAGCAGCTTTGACCACTTTGTACCGTGCAGAGGGTGAAATCACAGATTTAGAAAAATTATTAAGAGACGTGCAGGAGGAAGCTGATACGGATTCAAACCAGCGACACGTTTTCACGCCGCGCTGCTGCAGTTTCCAGAGACCCGTCTCCTCCCAGAGGACGGTTGTTTGTCTCTGTGGGATTAACAGTTTAATTTTCTTTCTCTTGTTTATCTCTTTCTCTGCAAGCATGAATGAAGGTCTGCGGTTGGTCTGTATTGATTCGTGAGATTTCCCGGTGAAGCTCGTGGCAGCTGACGTCCCGCTGCTACTCGAGAGTCTCAACAACCTGCCGTCTCGTGCACATGAACGAGGAACAGAGTGAAGGTGTGAACTCCACTTCCTGCTGAGGCTCAACAATTCACATTTAAACAACGTTTACACACGTGTTCTGTGGGCGGAGCCAATATCAGTAACTGCATTTAAAAAGACAACTGCATACATAATACATATACTGTACATACATGTACATCTTCATAATAATAGCAGCTGTGTATTGACAAGTACCAAGCACATACTTGGTGAGTCCCCAGCTGGTACCATGCACTTACTCAGAAAGTATTCAGGAAGTGACAGGTATGTACCCAGTGAGTACCACTATGTACCCTACGTACCCAGTGAGTACCAGGTACATACCCAGTGAGTACCAGGTACGTACCCAGTGTGAACCAGGTACATACCCAGTGAGTATGTACCTGGTACTGAAGTTTCCAGAAAGTAATTGTTCAGTACCAGGTACATACCCAGTGAGTATGTACCTGGTACTGAAGTTTCCAGAAAGTAATTGTTCAATACCAGGTACAGTGTGAAAAAGATTTGTAGGCTCAACTGGTCCAGATGAAATGATTGAACCTTTTTTGTGATATCCAGTTTGGGTACATACCCAGTACTCACTGGGTATGTACCCAGTATGAACCAGGTACATATCCAGTATGAACCAGGTACATACCCAGTGAGCACCAGGTACATACCCAGTAAAAACCAGGTACATACCCAGTGAGTACCAGGTACATACCCAGTATGAACCAGATGCCTACCCAGTGAGTACCAGGTACATACCCAGTATGAACCAGGTACATACCCAGTGAGCACCAGGTACATACTCAGTATAAACCATGTACATAACCAGTGAGTACCAGGTGTGTACTCAGTATGAAC